CTCCGACCCAGAACTGCACACCCCACCCCGCGGTGCCTGAACCGCTTATCCCCTGCCTTTTCCGTGTTGTGCTTCACTCTCGGAACACTCACTGCGTCACGGAACACCGCAAAAAATCTAAACCAGCAAAAGTCGTGGGGGTCTCAGGAAGTAAATGACGCCCCTGAACTCCTAAAAGAAGCACAGGTCCTGTGTCTACACCTGGCTTCTCCTCCCCAGCACCCCTGGGTGTCACTCCGCACAGTCACTGAAGCCATCTCGGAACTCTCCCCACGCCTGCTCTAGGACACAGGCCTCTAGATCATGAAAAGCAGGCACGTGGGGAGGGCTGGGATGCAGCCAGGTTGTCCTCAGGGCCGTCTCAGCCCAAACTCCCATCCTCCATTTCTATTCATGTCACTGACCCCCTCCCTGCCCCGTGTGCTGTTCTGATGCCACCTCTTCCTCCAGGAGCCCCTCACACCTGTTCTCTGCCCACGGAAGACGTGGGCCTGCAGGAAGGAGGTGACTCAGAGCCCAGGACGCAGGATGTTCAGCATCCTCTCCTGCACAGACGTGGACACAGGTCTGATGGGACGCCCTGGAGTGGAGCTTCTGGCCCACCCTGAGTCCAACCGCTCTCTGGTTCCTTCTCTATTTCCACAACCCGGTAAGCAACGGCATCTCAGAGGGGACTAAAGTAGAATTTTCTCCCTCAGTAACCTTCTTTGACTCCTTCTAAGCTTTTGCTCTTCCAAGATCTTTTTCGAATCCAGGGTCCTGTCTTGGCTCACCTGGCTTCTGCCAAGCTTCCCCCTCACCCAGCTGTCCAGAGCATCTCGAGTCTCTTGCCACCAGAGGGCACTGTGGGCCCAGAATTGGCTGCTCTATGGGTTCCCAGAAGGAGGGTAAGAATGGTATGGCCTTGAACTAGGGGGAAGCCACGGAGAGGAGGATGGGGGATGGATCGAGACCACCCAGGCAGGGGCTTGCTAGGGGACCCGAAGTTTGTGAGTCAGGTTATGACATGACTTGATGCCTACTTTCCAGTCTCCCTGGCTGCTGATGGACAGCGCTGGGGAGTTAACAAGGAAACAGGCTACTCCTGGCAGGGGATCCTGGCTTGCACTTGAGTGGCCCTGGGGACAGCTTTTAGGATGTCCTTGAGGCAGAATCAGCAGCACTTTGCTCTTAGGGTGAAGGTGAGGCTTGAGGGCAAGACAAGTTGAGGCACCTCCTAGAATTTAGTCATGACTTCCTGAGATTGGCAGGAATGGGAAAGGAGCAGGTATGAAAAAAAAAGTATGGAGTCTGCTGGGCCATGTCAGATTTGAGATGAATACATCATGGAGTGAAAAATATATCAAAAACCAAATAGCGCATGCAATATAATTCTATTCATATAAAATCTTACATATATTTATTCAAGAGCTATTTGCAAATGCCTCCCATGGAATTTGTATTTTATACCTGGTGTTGCAGGGTTGTGGGATGCGAGGGTGATTCCAGCCCCAGTAATTTCAAAGCCAGACCCAGTGACCAAGGCAGGTCTCAGGCCCAGAAGAGCAAAGGCATGTGGCTTCATTCTGATGTTGTCAGGGTCATTGTGGGTCAGGCCAGAGTGACATTTTAGACTGTTTTCCCACATCAGAAGCTACAGGGTGGCAACCCAAAAGCCAAATGTGTCCCCAGACATGTTATGGGACAATGTTTTTAAAAAATAAAATTTGGGGCCAGAATTTTAAAATCAGATATTTATATGATAATTTATTTTCCAGTACCCCTAGGGGAAAATCATTAAAAGAAAGATCTAGCAACACTGAATCCACAGACCCAAAGGCCATCACTCAAAATTAACTCAGGGACAGCTTCCCTGAAGTAGGGGTCCCGTGCCCTTCAGGTCTCCCTGGTCCCTGCCTGCAATTCTTCACTCCCCCTACCTGGCCCTGGGGGTTGTGGGGTTCATGTCTCGTGGAGAAAGATGCCCAGGCAATTTGACCTGAGGCTGGGGATTTGTACCAGGCCGAGGAGGAAACCACTTCCCACTCCTGCAGTGGGAAGGGGGCGGGAAAACCCCCAGCTGGGTTTCAGAAACCACATGCAACCAAGCAGCTCCTCCTCCAGTGGCTGTGGGAGTCCAAGTCCAGGAAAAGCCAAGTCCAGCATGAAAGCCCGCTTCAGCAGGGACCTGGGTACCCCCGGTGTCCCAGCGACCTCAGCTGGAGAACCCAAGGCCCAGCGCATGAAATGAGCTGCCAGCAAGGTGACGTCTGGCCAGAACTGGGACCTCGGGGTGAGTCCCAAAGGGTTTGTAGGTCAACAGGGCTTTGCCTTCAAAATCTGGCATGAATTCTCTGAGCATCCATACACCTCTGTTCACCAACAACCCTCAAGTGTTTTCCAGGAACAAACAGAAAATCACTGGGTGGAGAAAACCTGGTTTTCACCTCTGCTGCCCACAGTTGGTGCCAACCAGAAACCCTGAACGTCAGGCCATAGCCGCCAGTAAATAATTGTCAAATTGGCCACCAGGGGGCAGGCTTGTCCCAGCCAATGCGCTGAACTCCAGGCGGGGCGGCCCAAGCTTGGCTCCTAAGGTGCTGGGTGACAATCAAAGCATCACATCTAGGCAGAGGGAATGACTGTCACATGAGCGGACTCCACCTTAGGTCTGGGTCATCCGTTGTGGCCTCGTCTGTTTTCTTTTCTTTTTTTTTTTCCTTCGTCTGTTTTCTTGATCACGCCTGTGGCCTTTGAACGTCAAACAACAGCCCTGAGGTTTATTGAGGTTTACTCTGCGCTAAGCTCTGGGCTCAGGGTCTCATCTGAGTTAGAGATCATCGTGGCACCCATTCGTTAGAGGAAGAGACAGATTCAGAGAGGGGCAGTAACTTCTTCAAGGCCACACAGCCGTAAGTGATGGAACTGCAATGTCTGTTTGTCGGTGCCCTTGAGTGTTGCGCTCCGTGCCCCAGCCCCTGGCAGTGCCCCGCTCACTTTAACCTCCATAATGCATTTCTGGAGTCGTAGGCTCCTCTCCTGCTGGAGCCCGAGACAGTATGAGGTCCAGACAGTTACCTCGTTTTCACGGCAGGATCTGTTTTTCCAAAAACCGCAGAGAGAAAATAAAAACGGAGCAGCTCAGCCTACTGCAGTGATTCCAAAGATGGGGTTTCGTTAGAAACGTGACTTCTTAGCCCCACCCCAGACCTACTATCCAGAAATTAAGAGGGTGGGCCCCACGTTGGTGTTTTAACAAGCACCACCCCCAACCCCGGCTATACCCACCAGCGAGGCTGAGGCTCCTCACCCTCGAACGTCCAGCTGAAGCGGGGATGTAGGAGAAGGGTCCTCACTGACTGGATTCCTCCCCTCCGTCCACCGGGCCACTGCTGTTGGATGGGCAGCTCAGCTGTTAATCTGGTAGCGATGTTTTAGTCTGACTTTTGAACACTTAAATCCAACTGACGTATGTCCGGTCACTGTGGTGTTAACAGCCACTTTTTAGGCTCGAGTGTGTGTGTGTGTGTGTGTGTGTGTAAGGCCACAGAGTGCTAACCAGGTGTGGGCAGACATGGGCCCTGGGTCCACTCACTCTGGCCTCCACCCTGGAGGTCCATTGTCCCTCCACCATCTCAACTACCCAGAAAGAACTAGAAGGATGGAGGGTTAAGTCACAGAACATATACTGAGTGCAGAGAACTCCTGCCTGGCATCCTGGCTCCAGATGAATTATGTGCCTCCCAAATGTCTGCATCCTCATCCCTGGAGCATGTCAGTGTGATCGTTTATAATCAAAAGGAACATTGCAGTTGTGATAAAGGGTTCTGAGATGGGAGGACAATGCTGGACTATCCGGAGAGGGGGGAGCCCATGGAAGCACAAGGGTCCTTCTAGAGGCAGACAGAGAGGAAAGAAGATGCTATGCTGCTGTGGAAATGGAGGAAGGGGCCACGAGCCAAGGGATGGAGATGCCTCCTCGAAGCCAGAAAAGGCAAGGAAACAACTCGCCCTAGAGCCTCCAGACGGAGCACAGCCCAGAAGCTCCCCTGTGGTCTGACACCCGGGGAGCTGTAAGTGAATAAATGTGTGTTGCTTTAAGACAGCACGTTTGTGGTATTTGTTACGGCAGCAGTAGGACCTAATGCACCATCTTCCTGGGCCTTGAACAAACCTGCCAAGCTTCTTCCCAGCTCACAGCCACACAGATGCTATCCCTGCAGCCCGAGCCACCCTGTCTTCCCACCCCAGCTGCCCCTGCACCTGGCTCGTCCCTCTCAGCATTCAGCCTCAATGTCCCCTCCTCCAGGAAGCCTTCCCAGACTAGATCATGTCTCCACACCCCCATTCCCGAGCTCTCATGGCACCCCTTTACTTCTGCACACCCTAGGGTTCACCCTTGTGAGCCACTGGCCCCCAAGATCCCGACTTCTGTAAGCCTGTCCCCCGACATCACCCTGTCCTGTAAGTATTTGTTAACTCTTTCTTTTGCTGGACTGAAGGCTCTGAGGCCAGAGGCTGGTTTGATCATGGCTCCATGAATGTTTGTGGGATGAACAGATATCTGCTGGAGGTGTGAGGGGGGCAGCTGGCTCCACCCTCAGCTGTCACTTGTGTCCTCTGCCACAGCCTTCCTCTGTTCCCCCTTCCTCCTGTCCGTCAGTCATTCAACAAACATTACTCCTGGAGGGGACAGACCAAGCTGTGAGTCATGCCACCTCTCTGGGCCTCAGTTTCCCCTTGTGTGAAGTGAGGGAACTTAAGGGTCCCTCCCGTTTCTCGTGACATTCAGGTCTATCTTCTACACATACATGACACTCCTTATGTCAAGGGCCTTTATTTGTGGGCTGGAAAAGAAAGGAATCTGTGGGTTTGGAGGAGGGGCTGGAATATAAAGCACAGACCACGATTCCAGGGGCCCCTCAGATGGGCCAGATTTAAAACTCTGGGAGTCTGCAGCCTCCTGCTGTCTGGCAGATCCGATGGGGCGGTGGGTCTCCAGGTGATTCCGCCTGCGCTGCCGGGGAGGGCGGGTGGCCGTTCTCAGAAGCGCGGGACAGGCTGCAGGCGAGGAGGGGGCACCGGAATCGCGTGCTCCCGCCGGGACAGAGCACCCGATGGAGGTCTGGGGAAGGAGGCGGTGTGAGTGCTCTCCCTCGGGGCCGCCTCGCGTGGGGCGAGCCATCTCCGCTTCAGCTGCTCAGAGAGTCCGTAGTTCGTAGGGGGAGCTGCGGGACGAAGCAGGGTCCGGGGGAACAGGGCTCAGAGGAGGGGGCCAGCCCGGCAGGGCCAGGAGAAGGGGCGCAGAGGCTTTCCCAGGCTGCTGTGCCCGGGACCTGGGCTGGCAGCGCACGGGAGGGAGGGAGAGGCTGGCCGAGAGCACTGCTTCTGCCAACCGCTGACAGCCTCAGCGTGCGGCCTGCTCCCCGTGTCCCCGGGAGGGGCCGGGCACTGGCAGAGCCTTGGGAGAGTCAGCCCCGTGACCTGATGGAAGGTGGCCCTGTCAGCTCCTTGGTGACTTGCTGCCCCACCCCAAAAGGGAAGGGAGGAGCGAGAGCTTGTGAGGTTGATCTGGAGGAGAAGCCCTTGCAAAAGGAATGCACTGTGACAAGCAGCTCACTCTCTGCCCTATCTATGTCCCTTGGCATCCAGGGTTAGGGCTGCAAAAAGATGGAGCCAAAGGATGGCGGGTAGCTTGAAATGTAAATTGGATCAAGGCACTTGCTTTGTAAATCTGTTCAAAGTCTTGTTCTCACGGGAGGAAAAATCCACACCCCTTACCGCGGCCTGTGAGCCCCTATAGACGTCCTCTACCACTGCCTTGCAGATTTTCCGCTTGCTCTCACCTTCCCGGGAAGGCTCTTCCCCCCAGTTTCTGCATGGCTCCCTTTTTCTCCACACAGCTGTCTCCTCGAGAAAGACCATCCCTGTCACTCCAGCCAAAAGAATCAACACGCCTGCCTCACTTTCTCTCTGCTACCCGTTTTCTTTTCTTCAGACCATATATCCTGGTCCAAGGTGATCATATTTTCTAGATCTTAAGTCATCTCAGTTGTTAATGGTGTCTCTTCTGTCTTTCCACTGGGATGTCAACTCCCCGAGGGCAGGAATTCTGCCCTCTTTTGTCACTGCTCTGTCCCCAGGTGCTACAATAGGGCATGTCACCTGGGGAACAATCAGTATTTATGGAATGGATGACTGATACAAGTGTGCAGTGACGTTGCTCCACACCACCTGTGCTCTAGGGAAACGTGTTGCTGCAGGTGACAGCTTCATCACACAGCAACATCTTCCATTGTCACAGGGAAGGGACAGGTGACCTGGAGGGTAAATAGGATGCACCCCTATCTTCTCATCCCGATGCTCTGCTGGAACCAGGGCCACCTGCAAGGGCCCTTCTGCACGAGGAGGGCACACCCCAGCCCTAGGTGGCTAAGGACCCCTCAGAGCCCAATCCAAGGGGCAATCCCGAATTATAAAAATACCGAGAAGGGGGAAGTCAGATTTCTCTGGGAGCCACAGCAGCTGATGTCCATTCCAAGTGCGGAGCTGGGGCAGGTCCGGGTTATGGTTATGCCGGTTATAATGGTCATCATACGTGCTGATCAGATGGTGGTGCGAGGGCTCCTGGTGGTGGGTGATCAGGTGTTTGTACGGGAGCCCCTGGAAGGACAGACGCAGAGCACTTGTTACCAACTGGAGCACGGCACCCACCTGGCTGTGGATGGAGGCGGAGGCTGCCCGCCCTAGAGGTCTGATGGAGAGGGGGCTCCATAGGAATGTGGCCGCCTGAACCCTGAGGGCCACCAATGGGGAACACACCTGTCTGTCCCACTGCAACACAGCTCACCTTCAGACACACGTCCCAGCTCAGCTGCTGTCAGTTCTCTGTATGACTGGCCCCCAGCCTGTGCCAAGTCCCTAGAATGAGCTATGAGGACACATTAAAATGAAAGTCAGGACACCCAGCTGAATAGGAAGTTGGAGCCATCTCACTGCACGCCCTTGTGATCTGAAACTACCCCCTTTGATTTGTCCCAAGTCTCATCCATCCAAGCGCCTATTTCCATGGCAAGTGGAAGATGCTGAATGCTGAGCCTGGCGTCTGCTCCTTCTGTTTCAGTCAGTTACTATGGGAAGAGTCAGTGAATGCTCCATAAATTGCCTTCTCCTGCAAAGGATTTATGGCTCCCTCAGCTGGAGGCTCAGAGAGTGGTTTCTTTGGTGGGAGTTATTTACGGGGGGAAGAGAGCCGTGTTCTCCTCACTCGGGGACGTTTGCCTGCATCAGTGCTTTTCCTAAGAAAATCCTCTCGGCCCTGGAGGGGAGTCCTAGGGGACTGGGCTGATTTACAGGGGAGGATAATGTGGATTTCCATGCTCGTCCTCTTGTCTGGAGCAGACGGGGAGGTCTGTGTCTGCTGTGGTCTAAAAAGGCTGGCTGCACCCAATATTTCAAGTGGCGGTTCCGTAAATCAGTCAGATCACAATGCCAAAGGGAGACGAGGGTGGATGGGCGCAAATATTAAGCAGGGGTTCCCAAGATCCACATCACCGGGTGCCCGGAGTGTATTTCCAAGGTCAGGGAAAGCAAGTTGGAGGGGCTCCCATCAACCAAGGGACATTCTAAGGAGGCAACGCAGCAGGGGTAAAGGAGAGAGGCCAAGGGGGATTTTCTTGCTGTTTCCCTCGATGTGGGGAACAGCTCTGCTTCCTTGACTATATACACAGGATTTTTTTTTTTGATCGGGTATGGTGAGCTGACAGACGCAGAGACAACTGCCCCTGAAAGAAGAGCTTATTACTTACAAGTCCCAACAGGACGGGGCACACCGCATCAGGCAGGGCCACGGGGGAAGCACCAGGGCTGGTCAGGAGGCAGAGGGAGTGAAGGGAGAGCATGGCCCAGGGCTCTCCCTTGTTGTAGTTTCCAGCAGAGGAAAGGGCGAGGCAGGTGGCAAGTTCGAGAAGTGTAGGATGGCACAGTGCGGATACCTTCAGCAGGCTCTAGGCTATAGGGTGTCTCTGGTTGCACCTGGCCCTGGAGTGATTTAGGACAGGGGGAAATCGGCTTCCAGTACGGGAGCATTATTAGATAAAGGAGGCGTTGGAAGGATGGACTCTTGATTGGTCGGTGTGCATCTGAAAGGCATGGTGGCTGGCAAGGTGTTGACTAGCCCTAGGAATTAGCCTAGCCCTGGGAAAGGCAGCCTCTCCAGGATTCATAAGGCCCCTCAAATTTAAAAGCATCATAAAATACAGAAAACAAAAAACATGATTAATGCACTTGCCTAGGAGATAATAACGCCATCTACCCATGGGCAGTTTGAAGAGCAGAGGTCGTGTTTTCCTGAGAAGGGAGAAGAGTGAAGTGGGGCAGGAGATGGCAAAGGAGGCCATCCAAGCAGGGGAGCACAGGGTGAAGCACACAGAAGAGCTGACAGAAGTGAAACAGCCGCGTGGAGGAGATGCTGTGTCCAGGGTCCTCGGCACACAAGCGGGCTATCGGAACAGAGCCCCTGGGAACGAATATCTGATTGCTTGGTTCCATTTTGTGTGCGTGTCGGAGGAGATATCTTAATGTTTACCAGACTGTATGTATGTGTTTCATCAGGGTTTATGATGGGCCAACAAAGGTCTACAAGAAAGGGCATCTAACGTATACTGAGACCTAGGCTAAATGCCTCATGTACATTGATGGCTGGGGGCTGGAAGCCCCAGATTGTGGGTTCTAATTTCGACTTCCTTGTATTAAAATGCATTTGTGTTTTTAGTGCACACCAGTGCGAATGGTTGGCAGCCCCAGAGCATCAGCACGGTCCAAGGATGCCAGTGTGGTCCAGGGATGCTAGCACAGAACTGAAAATCTGACACTGTTTATCCTAACATGAATCCCCAAATGTAGAAGATGGAGAGTCAGCTCTGGTAGATGATGAAAAGGGACCTGAGGGGACTCCTTGCTTGTTTTCTCAATTTGCCAAGCAGCCCCCTGCTCATTCCCTTACCGACAAGCCACGCAGCTTCAGACAGGACACTCACCACCCTTGGGCACCTTTTATCTGAAAATGAGGGCACTGAGCTGGACAGTCCCTTGGGTCCCTTCCAGCTCTAAAATGTTTCATCCTGACAGATGTCCACCCCTCATTCTGTGCCTCCCTGTCGCCATTTAGGCAGAGGTAGGGTTACGTGGGATGGAAGGTGGGGGCGTACAGAAATCACCTGCACCTGCAGCAGGCTGTCAAAAGCAGCAACTTTGGGGAACACTCGGAGCGTGGCGGGGACAGGGCATGTCTGTGCACCCCAAGGGTGAGCGCCTGTAGGCTTATTCCTCCCAGGCTGAGACTGGTGGGTGGTACCCATGAGGTCTGGGGACGGGGAGGCTCTCTCTGCTGTTCCTGGCATGGCCAGGATCTCTGAGCTTCTGGCACACTCTCCCCTAGGCTAATAAATGTCTCAAATGCCTGGTCTTGGGCGAGGGAGGCATGTTCTGAGGTTGCAGTGCCCTGTGCCCTGCTCTGGAGGCCGGGAGCACATCCATATGCACAAACAGGCACCCGAGAGTGAGAGAGCGTTGAAAGGTCCTGAACTTCTCATACGAAAGAACGAGAAGCTTGGGCTTAGATGATACAAACACCGTCTGTCCAAACATCACCACGACTTACGCTGGCAGCGCCTTGTGTGATTCCTGACCACATTCATCTTAAGCCAACGCTTACCTTTGTTTATTTCCTGCATCCTTTGCCTGCATCCTGTTGGCAGAGTGTGGAGACACGGGAGAAGTGGTCCAGGAAAGCTCTGGGATACCTGGCAGGGGGAACGCTACCAGCCTGAATTAGATGGACTTCTGCTCCATGAGTAAACAAGGGTAAATGAGATCGTCAACCTTTTGGCTGGAGAGGGTGTTAAAGAGACCGCTTTTGAGTTCCAGGAGGGAGCCGAGCCTAGAGGAGTCTGGCTGTCAGTGTCTCCTGAGCGTTGGGAGGGGCCCGGGCCAGAGCGTGGGGCTCGGAGCCCACTTACCTCAACTCTCCTCTTGCTGTACCACATGGAGATGTGGTCCGGTCTGTGACCCGGGAAGGGGACGTACTCTTTTCTGTAAATGGACTGGGGTGTTTTCTCAGTGTCTTTCGTGAACTGGAAAAGAGCAGATACTCGGGACAATTTCTGTGATGCCCCTTCTCAAACGTCTGCTGCAGCCCCTCTGCTCCCGGCTGCTGGAAAGGGCATCCCGCACAACACAGGCTTACTAACACCCTCTCCCTTCCAGTACTTGGAAAGGGGTGTGCTCAGGGACTTAGTGCCCCTGCCCCTCCGAGACCCCTCGGGAAAGCCAACCTGGTCTCACCTGACCACGTGTACCCTGTCCCCTCTCTCATCTTCTCTCTCCCTGCTCCTCCCTCCTACTTGCCTCCTCCGTTTTTCTTCCTCCTTTGTTCCTAACTCTTCCCAGCTCTCCTCTTTCTTTCCTCCATCACATTCTGGGTTTTGGTTAATTCTGTTTAAAAAGTTTATTGTAGTAAAATGTGCATAATAAAATTGACCATTTTAACCAATTTTAAGTGTACAGTTTGGTGGCATTCAAAGTACATTCTCATGGTTGTATCACCATCACCACCATCCATCTCCAGAAACTTATCATCATCTCAAACCTTGTCCTGATTAAGCAGCAACTCCCCATTCTCCGCTCCCTCAGCCCCTGGCAGCCACCATTCTAGTTTCTGTCTCTGTGAATTTGTCTACTCTAGGTACCTCAGATAAGTGGAAGTATATGATACACTATTTGACTTTTGGTGACTGGCTCATTTGACTTAGCATAGTGTCTTCAAGGTTCATCCATTGCCGTGTGTCATGATTTTCTTTCTTTTAAAGGCTGAATAATAGTCCATCGTATGCATGTGCTCCGTTTGGCTTATCTATTCATTGGTCATTGGGTTGCTGCTACATTTTAGCTAGTGCACATAATGCTACTATGAACGTGAACATGCAAGTGTCCCTCTTCAAGATCCTGCTTTCATTATGTCGGTGCATAAAATTTTTAATTTTGATGAAGTTCAATTTACCCATTTTTTCTCTTGTTGCCTGTGTCTTTGATGTCATAGCCAAGGAATCATGACCCGATTCAACGTCACGAAGCTTTCTCTTGAGTTTTCTTCTAAGACGTTTATAGTTTTATGTCTTACATTTGGGTCTTCAACCTTTTTGAATTACTATTTGAATATGGTGTGAGGTAAGGGTCTGACTTATTTTGCACAAACATGGTGTTAGTGGTGGGCTTTTCTTATATGACATTTGTTACGTTAAGTAACAATGAGGTAGAATTTACCAGTGATGCCACCTAGTCATGGTTTTATTTGGGGGAGGTTTTTGATTACTGATTCAATTTCTTCACTAGTTATAGTTCTATTCAGATTTTCTATTTCTTAATAACCCTTTCTTCCAAATACACTTTCTTTGGCTCTTGTAACATTTTATGACTTAAAATCTTTTTTTAGGATATTAGTATAGACACCTCACTCTCTTTTGGTTACTGTTTGCAGGGATGTCTTTTTCTATTTATCATTTTCAACCTATGCATGTCCTTAGATTTAAAGATGGTCTCATAGATGGCATATAGGGGAATCCTGGATTTTTTCCCCCCAATCTGCCAGTCTGTGTCTTTTGATGAGTGTTTAATCTATTTATATTTCAAGTAATTTTTTGGCTGAACATTGAGCATTGGAAAAAACAACAACCTCATTTTGTTATTTATTTTTTGTATATTTTGCAGGGCTTTTGGTCCCTCATTTCCTCCATTACTGCCTTTCTTTGTGTTTACTTGTTTTTTTTTTATAGTGACACATTTTTATTTTTTTCTTATTTCCTTTCATATATATTCTAGAGATATTTTCTTTGTAGTTATCATGGGGATTACATATAACATCTTAAATTTACAACAATCTATTTAAAATTGATACTAACTTGACTTAGCTTATTAATAAAAACACTCCTTTACAGCTCTGCCCTCTCCCATTTTATGTTATTGACATCACAATTCCATCTTGACATACTGCGTACCCATTAACATGGATTTATAATTATTTCTATGCATTTTTAATCCTGTCGAAAATAGTGGAATTACAAACCAAAACTGCAATAATATTGGTTTTTATATTTGCCTGTGTGTTTATCTTTATCAGAGGTCTTTATATTTTCATATGGCTTCAAATTACTGTCTAGCATTGCTCCATTTCAACTTCAAGGATTCTCTGTAGCATTTCTCGTAGGGCAGATCCGGTGGTGATGAACTCCCTCAGTTTTTGTTTAATCTGGGGACATTTAAATTTCTCCATTTTTCAAGGACGGTTTTGCTGGCTAAAGTACTCTGAGTTGATAGTGGGGTGTATTTTCTGTCGTTTTTGAGCCTTTTAAATATATCGCCCCACTGCCTTCTACCTGCAACATTTCTGCTGTGAAATCTAACGATAGTCTTATTAAGGCTTCCTTGTATATGATGAGTCATTTTTCTCTTGCTGCTTCCAAGGGTCTCTCTTTGTCTTTGTCTTTCAACAGTTTGATTATAATTGTCTCTGTGTGGGTCTCTTTGGGGATTTATCTTATTTGGACTTCATTAAGCTTCTTGGATTTGTAGATACATGACTTTTCTTCCTGTCTGGGAAATTTTCAGCCATTATTTCTTCAAGTAATTTCTCTGCCCCTTTCTTTCTTTTTTCTCCCATAATCTGAATGTTGGTCAGTTTGATGATGTCCCATGAGTCCTTGGGCTCTGTTAACTTTTCTTCTTTCATATTTCTTTTGCTCCCTAGACTCAATAATTTCAAATGATCTGTCTTCAAGTCCTCTGATTCTTTCTTCTTCGTGTTCAAGTCCACTGCTGAATGCTTCTAGGGAATTTTTTCAGTTTAGTTACTGTATTTTTCAGCTCCATCATTTTTGTTTGGTTCCTTTGTATAATTTTTATCTTTCATTAATATTCTCATTTTGCTCATATACCATTTTCCTGACTTCCTTTAGTCCTTTGTCCATATTTTCTTTTAGCTCTTTAAGCATATTTAAGACAGTTGTTTTAAAGTTTTTGTCTGGTACTTCTGCTGCCTGTGTTTCTTCAGGGACCATTTCTGCCACTTTATTTTCTTCCTTGGAATAGCCCATGTTTTCCTGTTTCTTGGTGTTTCTTGGTATTCCTTGTCTTTTTTTTTTTTCAGCTGAACATTGAGCACTTGAAAAAACAACCATCTCTTCTAGTCTTTACAGACAGGTTCCATTCAAGGAAAGATCTCCACTAAGTAGTAGGGCATGTTCTGAGCCTTGGAATCAGCCAGGTATGAAGGTTTAAGTTCTTCTCAGGACTTTCCTGAGCAGGAGCATCCTGCCTAGCCCTCTGTGTGTGTGTGTGTGTGTGTGTGTGTGTGTATCCGTCCCCATGTGTGTCCATGTGTGTGCTTTATATTTCTGCTATATGCATGGCTGCTTTAAAATGCCTTAATTCTCCAAGGAATCTCTCCCCAGCTTCTTCTCAGAGACTTGGATGTTCTGTTGCATTCCTCTACCTGTAATTTCTTGCCCCAGACATTTGCAAATTTGTGGTCCCCTGGCAGCTTTCACTAGCTGTGACCACTGCTGCTCTCCACAGCTCTTCCTAGTCTGAAATGAACTATCTACTTCTCCCTGTCTGTGCTCTGAGGAGTCAAAACAGAGACCAATCCCTCACGCAACTTACAGACAGATTACTCCACTCCCTTTGGGTTTGAGGGAGGGAACAAGGAGCTGGGCCACTGCTTCCCTCATGCTGCACGATGCTGGGCTGGGGAGGGGATGGAGAAAGGGCAAGTAAAAATGCTGGGGAACTTCCTACTATTTTGAACGTGGCTCTTTCTAAATTAGGCATTTGATTGTTTGCTTTAAACCTTTGTTTTCCAGAGTTCCTGTATCATTGTTTCTGTTAGGCTAGATTTGATTTTTAAGTGTTAACATGGAAAGACAAGCAACCTGGAGGTTCTTAATCTGCCATCTTTCTGACATCACACCAACTCTGCTCTCTTTATGCAATCTCCTCTAGGTGTAAGACCCATAGTATCCCTGGGTATTACCTTACCTACAGGATTCTGGACGGATTGCTCAGCCAGTCCTTCTTGCCCTTGAAACTTTCCCTACACACACCTGTTTCCCAGACAAAGCCAAGTACTGACAGAGCTAACAATGGCCACAAGCCATGTCTGGCCAGAGGGGTAGTAAATGCTAATGTTCCCCATGAAACAGCCTTTTGCAATTCTCAGAAGTCACCATCAACCTTCTCCACACTTACACCAAAGCTGCCAGTTCTATCTCAGCTTCTTTCCCTTGCCTATTTTCCAGGAAGACATGAGGATGTCTAGATGTCTCTGCAGAAATTTAAGTGGGTCAGTCTTGATTGCCACATATGAAGATACTCAATTTTAAGGATGCCAATCCAAACAAAGTATTTTGTGACGACCTGGAAAGTACATGGGAACATCAAAGGCCCATTTGTTCTATTTTGCAAGTGAAAACTGAAATGCACAGGCAGGGCAGGCTTGTGCAACAGGTGGCAGAGAGCAGCAGTTCACCCCCAGGCATCAACACAAGGAGTTTCCAGCCTGTCTTGGCAGGTAACACCTACTGGAAAGGCCCAGCCCAGGGAGAGCAGATGGTCTTCAAATCAAGATGCAGCAGAACTAGGGAACATCAGGTGCCTAGAAACACTCCACAGAATATATTACTGTGAGGCACAACCATATTCACACCTGTCCTATGATGTTTTCAAGATGTAATAGGGATCTTGATGACTGCTTGAACATAACTCCCTATATATAGCACAGAGTCCCTAAAGCCACCTTCTTAAGTTGCAACCATCTATGGCTCTTGATTTGGAAATAATAAAGCCCTCGTTCCTACCTCTCCCTGCCAGGTCCCCCTCTGAGCCCTCTGTCCACCTTCTCTTTTCTTACCTTCCTCCTCTCCTCCAACCAGTTTCCAGTGAGCACTCTGGCTGAATACTTGGTCTCAGTCTTCCAGCCTGGAGTGGAAAATGACTGTGGACTTACTGCAGTAGAAAACTGCATGGTAAGGATTTGCCCTGAATTTCTTTGCCTTGATACAGTTAGTTTAAGATTTCGGGGGAAGGGAGATGTTATGAATCGCTGAGTTTGGGGTGCCTTTTTTTCTTTTCAGCAGTCCTTCTGAGTGGTGGCACCCTGCTAACTTTACAGAATAAAAAAGGGCCCTGAGAGTCCGCTTTCAGCCTCCTGGGAGAGGTGCCGTGATCTTGGATTCCCTACTGTTGACTGTCTCCATGGTGACAGAGTCTGAGTAGAAGTACTTTCCTTACGGGAGTAGCTGATTCTTCAGGAGCAAAACCGACGCCACAAAAGCAAATCAAACCAGTGGCACCCGCCACAAACACGGGAGCCAGAAGGACCTGGATTCTGTGCTGTCACCTTTTAAGAGGCATCATCTTTGCTGCATTTTCACAGCCAGGATGAGATGAGATGAGCACATCCTACTACGCAATGATGCTGATGGGCCAGGCCCCTCACTGAGACATCGACATGTACTCGCTTGTTTAATCCTTGGAGCAACCCTATGAAGCAGGTACTGCAGTCATACCCATTTTATGGATGAGGACACTAGAGCAAAGAGGGATTAACTAGCTGCCTCAGGTTACACATGTGGAAACCTGGGATTTAAATACACTTTCATTCAGGTCTAAATCCCTGGGCTCTCTCTACTCACCGCCCGTCTGCCCCTTTGCTTTAGGGGCTTCCAGGAAGAATCCTGTCTTTGTGGTCAAACCAATAAATATGATTCATTCAGTCAGTCTTCATTCATTCATTCCATAGTCATTTTGTTAAGCATATGCTACGTCTAGGACACTAAGCTGGGGCGACAATGTGTCAGTGACTAGACTAGGTCCCCATCCCCTTACAGCTCAATCTGGTGGGATAAAGGCCATTATCTTGCTTATTCATTGAGCAAAAAAGTCAGGAACCGCCTAGAAGTCTGTCCACAGAGGGCTGGTTCAAGAAATTGTGGCACATCGTATAATGAAATACTCCATAGCTGTTAAAATTGCTGACATACAAAGATGCCAACAACATACGGCTTATAGAAGCAGGACGCTGTTGTCTTGCTTGCCACAAATGAAGGCGTTCGATTTTAAGCAGATTTCACTACTGCTGCTGTTGTGGGATTTTGTTAGACTGCATTAACCTCGTAGAAAGGACGTACTTGCTTTTTGTATTATCTAGGACAGTTTATGGAAGATTAATGTATTTCTTCCCAGAATATGAAGTAAGTCAAAACATCTGGGCCAGGAGATTTCTGCTTTGTTTTGTTTATCTTTGTTTGAGGGTTTTTCAGTTTAGACTTAATGTCTTTTATTAGATACAAAACTAATCAGACTTTTCTCTTTCCTTTAATGTCGGTTTGGTGAATTGTATTTTTCTAGGAATTTGCATATTTTATCTAGATTTTCAAATTTGGGGACATATGTTGTTCATAATGTCCTCTTATCATTTTCTTAATTTCTCTATTTAAAGTCTCATTTTATTCCTACTATTTATTACCTGTGCTTCCTCCTTTTTTTCTTTGTTGGTCTCCCCAGATACTGATCAATTTTATCAGTCTTTTCAAGCAGCAAAAATGTGGCATTGTGGATCATCTCTACTGTACCATTATTTTATAGTTTTTTTGCCCAAAAGATATTTTTAAAGTATATAAAGGTAAGTATATTGAGAAGTATTAAATACTTTTTTAATACTTACTCGTTCAATCATTTTAGCTATTTCATGTTCAAATATTGCTTCTGCCTTGTACCTCTCTCCTTTTTTTCTGGGATGCCAATTGCATACTTGCCACAGCTTCCCACTGAATCCTCCGTGCCTCCTGCCCCTTCTTCTGTATTTCCTACCCTTTTGTCTTTTTGTGCTTGATTCTGAAGAGTTTTTTCTGACCTGTATCCCAGTTCACATTAAACCCGCTCATTGAAGTTTTATTTACTTTGTTGCATTTTTTCAGTTCTAAAATTTCTGTTTGATGAACTACATATGTTACTTTTATAGTTTCAAATTATTTTACTTTTTAACTTCTGAATTCTCAGATTACCCCTTTTTGCCTTCCAAATGTTCAGATCTATAGTTTTGTAAATCTATAGATGTATATATTATAGATTATAATTATACATAATATATAGATTTATATAGATTATATTTATAAATATATTTATCTAGACTTTATCTCCTTGTATATAATAAGCAGAGCTATTTTACAGTCCATATTTTTGGTTTTTTTCTCTCTTTTTACTGTTTCTGTGTGTTCCTGCTGCTGGCTCTTTTCTTCTTATATGCCTGGTGTCTGAAAACTGCTTGTGAAAGTAATATAAAGTCTAGGATGACATTAACTTCCTCCAGAGACAATTGCCATTTGCTTTTCCAATTGCCTGTCAACATTAGAGATTGTGGGTAAGTTTAATTCCATTCAGGGGTGGGCACTTTTGGTCACTGAGTAATTACAATACTGTGTGCTCAGCTCTACGTTGGAGTTCTGGCAGGCTTTGCAAGCCCACGGGGCAAGGGTCTTACCCTGCTTGGGAAGCGGGCTGTCCAGAGAGGATGGCACCCTTCTATGATGAGACCTCAGAGGTAGATAATAAATTGACTTCTCTCCTCTGAATCCAGGATGTCCTGGACACACCTCTTAAAGACGGCCCATCAGCTTCAGGCTCTTGCACAAAGAATAGGATGGTGGTGGGTGGAGCACTGGGTATCCAGATATACTTGGCTTCCACTTCCTGTCCCACCTCTTACCAGCCTTTTAAATTTGGCCAAGTTCTCGGGCCAAGCCAGCCTCAGTTTCCTAATCTGTAAGTTGGGAGTGAAAATTACGGGCTTCATAAGATTACGAGAATTCAATGAAATGTCACCTGAAAAACACTTCGTAAAATGCCTGTCACATAGAAGGGGCCAGTAAATGTTCAGCTCTTTCTTCCCTTTATGCCCAAGCCAAGTTTATTTTAGTAACAAAATCCATTCCTTTCCCTGTATTAGAGGAGTGAATTTGGGAAATTGTAGCAGAAATATCCCACAGGGAGCAATTCTAGAATCTCTCTGAATAGACGATTCCTGAACACAAAAGTGGCTTGTTATGCCCACCAGGGGATGTGCTGTGAGTTACCCAACAGCACGTCTGTGTCTGATGAACAGCAGATGCCTAGTCACGACTTACATGATTGACACGAACACCCCGAAGTACTAGATGTGATTATCCCCATTTCAAGGCAAGAAAATTGAGGGGTGAGGAGGTTGAGAAAATGTTGCACCTCTGGTTGGCTCCCTACCACGTGTCCTCCATCACTCTGCCTCCTGGGGATGGGGGGGGGGCCTTGGGGAAGTAGCGGTAACAAACCCAGAATGTGTCTCTTCAACTTAAAATGAAAACTGTCCCATCCTTTGATGGTGACATAGGCAGGGAGTTGTTTCATAGTAAGGGAGTCAGACTCTTGAGGGTTTTTTTTTTTCTGACGACCAGAAGTGCTTTGAAGCTGAGCCCCAAACACAGCCTTATCTGATTCAACCCTGTACAGCAATTTGCAAGACAACCAGCTGCAATGCTGGGGCACAGGTGTCTTAGCCAAGAGAACAGAGCAAGACTTGGCAAGCTGGGAACAAGGAGCCAATGTGCTGATTCTGGCATCCTTTGCTTTGTTAGATGGAGACAAGAATACTGATTAGAGGTAACACACCAGTAACGTTGCAGCCTGCCCCGATTCCTCAGCTGTTTCTTGCACGTTCATTGGAGTTAAGGAACTTTCCCTTTAAAATACCGACACTCCATACCCACTCTGCCCCTCTCGACCAGTTGTCAAGCCAACCAGTTTTCTTTTTGTTTTTGGGATTGGTGGTTACGATCCAACTACTTCCCTCCAGCTGAGATGTGCCAGAAAAAAAGGAATGGGACAGGCATCTTGGCAGCATCTCGGCAGCATCTTGGCAGCATCTACCAACATGTAAAATTGTTCCAGGTCAATAGTCCTTCTTGAATCTATCACAGAGAATCACATGCGGAGAGGGGAGCATGTGCAGAATACTCACTAGAGATTTGTGAAAAACTGGAAAGAGACTAAATGTGCCCACCAAGAGGGAATGGCTAAGACCTGTAATATAGTCACACCATGGAATACTATGCAGTAGCCAAAAAGGGCAGGATAAATCTGTACTGTTCACTAGGCTAGATTTCTAAGATACATCAGTTTTTGAACTTTTTTTACTGAAGCATAGTTGGTTTACAATGTTGTGTCAATTTCTGGTGTACAGCACAATGCTTCAGTCATACAGGAATATACATATATTTGTTTCATCTTCTTTTTCACTGTAAGCTACTAAAAGATATTGAATGTAGTTTCCTGTGCTCTACAGTATAAACTTGTCTATCTGTTTTATATACACCAGTAAGTATCTACAAATCTCGAACTCCCAATTTATCACTTCCCACTCCCTTTCCCCCGATAACCATAAGTTTGTTTTCTATATCTGTGAGTCTGTTTCTGTTTTGTAAATAAGTTCATTTGCCTTTTTTTTTTTAGATTCCACATATGAGTCATATCATATGGTATTTTTTCTTTCCCTTTCTGGCTTATTTCACTTAGAATGACATTCTCCAGGGCCACCCATGTTGCTGCAAATGGCATTATTTTATTATTTTTTATGGCTGAGTAGTATTCCATTGTATAAATATACCACACCTGCTTTATCCAGTCATCTGCTGATGGAAATTTAGGCTGTTTCCATGTCTTGGCTATTGTAAATAGTGCTGCTATGAACATTGGGGTGCATGTCTTTTTGAAATAAGATTCCCTCTGGATATATGCCCAGGAGTGGGATTGCTGGGTCATACGGTAACTCTCTTTTTAGTCTTTTGAGGAATCTCCATACTGTTTTCCACAGTGGCTGCACCAAACTACATTCCCACCAGCAGTGTAGGAGGGTTCCCCTTCCTTCACAGTCTCTCCAGCATTTATCTAAGATACACTGTTGAGTGAAAAAGATTCAAGTGACACAGCATGTGCAGAATCGTGCCTTTTATGTACAAGATATGGCAAAGTCATCCCACAAAATAGTACCCTGTATTTTTTATGCTTACATAACTGCATATCTGAAACCAGAGAAATAAGCTTTGAAGGACTGAAAAACCAACTCCTCACACCTTCTCCCCCCAAAAAGTAACAGTGGATTCATCCAGATAAAAGGGATAGAGTTAAGAGAAGATGATCAAAAGGGACTTTAGCCTTATCTCAAGTATCTGAAGGGTTTATTTAAAAGGAGAATTTATTTACGTATCACATATATAACTTTAAATTAATTTTTAAGGTAGAGTGGAAATGAAAATACAATGATTGAGAGTGTGGTGAGCTGTAATATTGTCAAAAAGTTCTGCCGGTCCTCTCCAGGGAGGTTTACGCTTGTCTGTGCTGTCAGCGTCAGGCTTGGCCATTGGATTTGCTCCAGCCGATGAGAGGTGAGCAGAAATGGTGAACATCACTTCTGAGCAGACGCTTGGGAAGCCAGTGTGTGATGCGCCACGTCCTTTATTCCTCTGTCATGCAGCTGGAGATCTTTCAAAGTGGATCCACCAGCCTGGATCCAGGCACAGACAAACGTGGAGCAGAGCTGTCGCTGACCTTCGAGGGCTGTGTAATGTGTGATGCGAGCAGGAAATAGACCTTTGCTGTCATCAGGTACTGAGACCGTGGGGCTATTTGTCACTGCAATGGAGCCTAACCTGTACTAGTTTGTAAATTCTAGAGAGCCCAGGGACAAAGGAGAGAGCAAACAGTCACTCTGGAGCAGAGAGGGCAAGGGGAGAGGGGAGCACGGTTTGGGGTCAGACTGGCAGGGAGGGCCTGGGTGAAAGGGACGTGAGGCGAAGAGCGGCAGAGACTGATTTTGCTGATTTTTTTACTTTGCCCTAAAATCTTCTCCTCAGTTGCCTACTGACCAAAGAAAGTGATGTGGGATGCAACGCATTGTCCTTTATCCAGTGGCACTTATCCCGGGCTAACTGGCAGAACTTTCCAGGAAAATCCTGAGAATTTAACTGAGAAAACACTCCCAGAGTGTCTGGGCTTAAAAGGTGTGGGCATCCATCTCCCCTGAGCCGTGTTAGTGGGGCACCTCAGCTGTGCACCCCACAGGGACCCGCAGTTGGCAATAACAAAGCCACTCACACTTAGAGAAAGTGACAGTCAAGGAAGCAAAGGACACCAGATGGCAAGAGACTGGACGCTATTGACCTGCCTCAGATCAGATGGTAGCTGACACCCAGCTGGATGGGAAATGACGCACGTATGGTCCTGAGGCTGTCGTGTCTCTCATTTTGATTCTGAATGATGGGAGAGAAAAGCTCCAAAGGGCCATGGGACTTGGCAGAAAGGGTTTATCGTCAGACAGACCAGGGTTGCCATGCTCGGTGCCTGGCCAACCACACGGCCTTGGGTAAACTACCCCGTCATCTGGCCTGGAGGTTGATTAGGAAGAGTCAGGAAATGAGTGTTGTTGTTAATGCCTCTGGTTTCCTCATCTGTCAACCGAGCTTAAGAACACTCACTCTGTAGAACTTGTGTGAGCACATAGCAGGGGTTGCGGGGAGGAGGGGAGCACATAGCAGGGGTTGGGGGGTGGAGGGGGAGGAGGCATAGCTGGGCTGTTAGATTAAGACTACTCAGACGACCACCTGCTGAATGGCGGGGAACAAGCCACCCACCTGGGGTCAGCAGGCAGCTCCCGCGGCATCTGAACTTCCACTCTGGGGAAGTGAAAACCTGGGGTAAAGTCACAAGGTTTATTATTTACAGATCCCAGAAACTGGTGGTGGAGGGAGTCACAAGGAGCCAGGGGAAGGGCTCTGTTCCAGGTCACGAGTGAACCGGAGGTGGAGAGTCGGGGAGAACCTGTCACTTGTAGGGTGGTCGGGGTGGAGGTCGCTAACTTTCCAGGCTCCACTCTTAGGCGGTTCTTTTAAAAGGCGACTGGAGCAAAGCAAAGCGAGAACTCGTGGTGGGAATCCTAAGCTCGGGTCTTCATCGGAATGTCCAGACTCTGGTATGAGCCGGCATTTTTCGTTGGCATTACCGTGAAATGCCCGGGCCACGACTCAGCGTGGCTGTTTCTCATCGCACTGAGACGGCGGATTGAAACACCCAGTGTGCAGCCTGGCACGGAGTTGGCTCGAGGCGAACAGTCATTCCTATTCCTTTTCCGTTCCCTGAGCCCCGCGAGTGGGTTGCAGGAAGGAGGGCACAAAGCAGTAAAGGAGAAGAGGGGAGCAGTGGGGCCCAGCCAGTCCCCGGCGGTGAAAGCTCTCTCTCGGGATCGGCAGAGGAAGCAACTTCAGAAATGAGCCCACCCACCAGTTCTTCCAGGCCCTAAAGTGTAGCCCACTCATCTCCACTGGCCGCCGTCCTCCCGTGGCTCTCCTGTTCCCGGCCAGCCCACTCGCATTTCCGGAAGGCTGGCTCATGTCCCCCCACCCATCTCCAGAGGCAAGGGTGAACCACGGCCACTCTCCAGGAGGGCAGCCTACCTAGGCTCATCTCAGAGGGGCCAATGCTCCTGACAGCTGAGTGGCCACCAGACTATGTGTTTTCAGTGACTGGTTCCTGTTTCTCCAACAAAGCCAACTGCTGGTCGGCCTGCTGTGAATGGACCAAGAGGCCATCCAATGGGATTCCTCTCTGTCCCATGCTTTAGCACAAACATTCAACTGAAAGCGAGTTAAGGGCCAACATGGGGTCCTTTGTGCAGTAGACTTGGATCTTGACCTATAAAAGCCACTGGCCAGTAGAGTTTCCTGAAGACAAGGAGGGGCCAGCATGGGAGCCTGGGCCATCCCCTTCAAAGGAATTTTTCTTTCTAAGCAGCAGATGGTCAACTTGCCCGATGGTCCTTGACTCAGGCAGGGTTCAGTTTAGCTTCTGTAGTAGGTAAGTGTTGATGCCCAGGCCAAACACCAGGGGGAGCTGACCCCACCCTCCACCCCAAGGGCGGCATGGGACTTGGGCCTGGTCAGTCAGAACACCCCACTCTCTTAGTGGTAGCAGCTGAGCGCACCGCTCAGAAAGCCAACAGAGCCATCACACTGCAGTGCAATTTTTGCTAAGACTGCTGAGAAGAGGCAAGTTCATAATAACAGACTTGACTCTGGAAGATTGTAAGCAGGGAGGTACTTAGCGCCACAGTATAGAGAGGGGAAGGTGAAGTTCACATAGGAGAGCACAGGCTGGAGAAGAGAAGGCCCCTGGTGGCACTGTTTGAGTTCTTGGATCAAACCATGCCTGATTCATCCCTGGAATTTGTAGCTTCATTAGCCAATACATTGTCTCTTTGATTTAGACCGATTTGCTTTGGTTTTGTGTCTTAAAAGAGAAATGTTTCTCACTAACACATCTTTGGTCCTTTGGGCCCTCCTTTGATTTCCACTGGGGACATGACTAGGTTTGGTCAGACTTCATCTTTTTGGGTCTCTGACTCGGGACTCAGCTTCCTCCCAACTCCCCTCCTCTAATACGTACCATGTTGCTTCTGGGTCCCTGGGTAGAAGCCTGACTTCAGCTCCAAGGGCTCCAGAGCTCCCCCAGTCGGGCGGCTCCAGTCTGTCTCACTTTGTCACTAGATGCCAACTGCCATGGAAAACCCACCCATTCCGTCGTCCCTCTTCCAGCCCAGGTAGTTGAATCTCTGAGCTCAGAGTCATCGGAACAGCAGAAAAAAGTGTTACCGTGAAACCAATTTCCCCACCACCACCCACGCTGGTACATCAGAGCCTTGCCCTCTGAATCAGATTGGAAAAGGCACACGACGACCTTGGGTTAGTCCAAGGACTAGCTAAGTAGACCCTCCTGTTGCCCAGAGCCGGGATCCACCTGGGCAGTGGGAACCCTCTCTTGCGGAGGCCGTGAGCAGTCTTTATGTCCTCATTCACTCCTGCAAATGGCCACTGAGAACTGTCCGCTCAAATTTTCCCAGTGGTGAGCAGGGACAGAGAGCCCCACCCTCCCCCCAAATCTGTCTCTTCTACTGCTCTGCCTCTAGAGATGAGAAATGTGCCTTCTATGGTTCTAGAACCTGGAGCAAGAGGAGGTGGAGCCTCCTCCTCGGCACCGCCCACATCAGCAACAGGGAGCCCCCGGTGCGTCTGCATGATGGTGGAACCCACACCCTTAACAACTGCCACAGGAAGGAAAGACGGTCACAGCCCCTCTATAAAATGGACCACAGCATTCAGAATTCTGGTGGAGCAGGGGAAGTACAAGAAGCCCATGTCAAGGGTGTTAAACACTCCATGGAAACCATCCTCCATGTGATGCCAAGTCACCGGGACCCCCAGGTCCTCCAGCCTTTTCTTGTACAACAGCGAGTGGTCCCGGAGAAGGTCATACTCACAGCTCACGATGCAAGCTTCGGGCAGCCGGGACACCACCTCGTCGTCCGCAATCAGGGGCGAGTTCTGCACGTCCAAAACGAGGTTTGTCTCCAGATAGGCAGCCTCATTCAGGGGCCCAAGGGGTATTTGCCGGTAGCCTCTCTTCTTAAACCTCTCCTGGAGGTTCTCTGCACCCAACCACTTTCTGTACTTTTCCCAGACTTCGACAGGCAAGTGGGCACCTTTCAAAACCGTGCTCTTCCAGGAAGGGCTGATGTTCAGGTAAGCAGACCAACAGTAGAAGGCAAAACTCAGACTGAGCAGGGGGACGTTCATGTTCTGCCCATAGGAAGGGGTCCGGAAGTCCAGGGCCTGGAGAGCAGCATAGATCAGGACCTGAGCCCGGATCTTAGGAAGATCTGAATTGTCCACAAGGTTTTGACAAATCAATGTTGCTAAGCCCCCTCCTATGCTGTCACCGCAGACCACCACCCGGGCTGGATCCACCCCGTACATATTCAAGGACTTCAAGAACAGGACGGTGACCGCCATGCAGTCTTTTACGGGCACTGGAAATGAATGCTTGGGCAATCTGCGATATCTGAAACGGAATCAAGGAGCACAGTTTACACGCACCGCCCCCAGAGAGCACAAAACACCTGTCCCTAGCATTCTTCGGTCCAGATTTCTTCCACTAGCCACTCATTCGGAAGCCTGAGCTGACGAAGGTAAGGTAGGAGGCTGAAGTGAGGTGGTACAGACAAAGCTTACAGTGCCAGGCACCGTGGGCTCGGTGAGTGGTAGTTGCTATTTCCACTGTCTCAAAGTCAGCTGAGGGGACAGGCTGTGACCACAAGATGACCCTGTCATCCAGCCATGAGTGAACAACTTAGCTGTCACCAAGGGGATTCTCATCTTTCTGAACCTACCTGATTGTGCTTCCCTAACTCAAACCTGTCCCTTGGGTTTATTTTATTTTATTTTATTTTATTATTTTCATGAAGCCACCACCACAATCAAGATAGCTAACATTTCCATCCCTCCCCGAGAGATGCAATTTTCGAATTCCCAGTTTATCCTTTCTTACCCCCTTGAACCCCTGGTAACCATAAGTTTGTTCCTTATGTCTTTGAGTCTGTATCTGTTTTGTGGATAAGTTCATTTGTGTCCTTTTTTTAAGATTCCATATATAAGGGGATATCATATGGCATTTTTCTTTCTCTTTCTGGCTTACTTCACTTAGAATGACAGTCTCTAGGTCCATCCATGTTGCTGCAAATGGCATTATTTTACTTTTTATGGCTGAGTAGTATTCCATTGTATATATATACCACATCTTCTTTATCCACTCATCTGTTGATAGACATTTGGGTTATATCCATGTCTTGGCCACTGCAAACAGTGCTACTGTGAACATTGGGGTGCATGTGTCTTTATGAGTTATATTTTTCTCCAGATATATGCCCAGGAGTGGGATTGCTGGATCATACGGTATGTTTATTTTTAGTTTTTCAAGGAACCTCCATCCCGTCCTCCATAGCGGCTGCACCAATTTACATTCCCACCAGCAGTGTAGGAGGGTTCCTTTTTCTCTGCACCCTCTCCAGCATTTACCATTGGTAGACTTTTTAATGATGGCCATTCTGACTGGTGTGAGGTGATATCTCATTGCAGTTTTCCTTTTATTATCTTTTTTAGGGGGGGGAGGTAACTAGATTTATTTTTATTTGTTTATTTATTTATTTATTTAATGGCTCATTGTAGTTTTGATTTGCATTTCTCTAACGATTAATGACGTTGAGAATATTTTCATGTGCTTGTTGGCCATCTGGATGTCTTCTTTGGGGAGATGTCTATTTAGGTCTTCTGCCCACTTTTTCATTGGGTTGCTGGTTTTTTTGATATGAATCTATATGAGCTGTCTGTATATTTTGGAAATCAGCCCCTTGTCGGTCGCATCATTTGCAAATATTTTCTCCCAAAAAGAATAGGTTGTCTTTTCATTTTGTTGATGGTATCCTTAGCTGTGCAGAAGCTTTTAAGTTTAATTGGATCCCATTTGTTTATTTTTGCTCTTATTTCCATTACTTCAGGAGCTGGTTCAAAGACACATTGCTGTGATTTATGTCCAAGAGTGTCCTGCCTATGTTTTCCTCTAAGAGTTTTATAGTATGTGGTCTTACATTTAGGTCTTCAATCCATTTTGAGTTTATTTTTGTATACGGTGTCAGAGAATGTTCTAATTTCAGTCTTTTACAGGTAGCTATCCAGTTTTCCCAGCACCATTTGTTGAAGAGACTGTCTATTCTCCATCTCCTCTTTTGCCGTAGATTAATTGACCATAAGTGCATGGTTTATTTCTGGACTTTCTATCCTGTTCCATTGATCTATGTGTCTGTTTTATAAGCAGCTCCAGGCTCTCCTGGGTGGAGATTCTAAGCAGTCCATGTTTGCTTGGGTGCCA